CAATGCGGTAGTACAAAACGGCTGCCGCTTTTCAGGCCAACAGTTAAAGGAGAGACAGGTACCAGAATCGTATTTAACCGATTACACGCCGTTGTCGCCTATACGCGACAGATCCGCGCGCGCTGGCAAAGCCGCTGTCGCTTATAAGCGACATACGTACCTGTCAAAGTCAAGGTGCTGCCGCTCCACGGTCGCGCGGGCTGTAACTAAAAGTGCACTTTGAACTTTGTACTCTCATATATATAAAACGGGAGAAAACGGACCAAGTTTACAAACGCGGGTTTGCGCGATATCTGCAGCCGGTGCGTCTTTATTCTACGGAGATATTGCTACGCATCTTTGATTTTCTGCTGTAAGTGAATAAAAACATCATGAATATATAATATTCAGTACAGTATTTGTACAGTTTGATAGCATGGCTAGGCAAAGATTCACAGCAAATGACGTACTGGGATTGCTAGAGTGTGATGATGATGATGGTGAACCAATGATGCAAGATAGTGACAATGAAGACTTTCTGTGTGATGAAGGTAAACCCAACAACTAATACAACTGCATAAATTACTGTTATGATCTAGCAGATGAGATTGACTATGAAGATGACGAACAGCCCAGGATGCACACTGTACGGGTCCAGCAATTCTCTCCCAACATCAATTGCTACCAACCCCCCCAGCGATCACTCTCTCTCCCACCATCAGTTGCTACCAACACCCCCAGCAATCACTCTCTCCTCCCGACATCGGTCGCTACCAACCCCCCCAGCGATCACTCTCTCCTCCCGACATCGGTCGCTACCAACCCCCCCAGCGATCACTCTCTCCTCCCGACATCAGTTGCTAGCAATTCACTCCCTCCCAGCACTCTTTCTCCACCCTCTGCGTCCCAAACACCTTACACTCCAGCATGGAGTAGACAGACTCATCCTGTCACCGTCGCCCCATTCACCAGTGCAGTAGGTCCTACGTTTGATGTCCCAGAGTCTCCCTCCTCTGTGTTCCTTCATTTCTGGCCTGACAACTATCTGCAAGAGATCTGTGCACAAACAAACCTCTACGCACAACAGGTAATGGGGCCAGCGAAGTACGCAGATTGGGTGGAGGTGAGTGTGCCAGAGTTGAAAGCCTATTTTGGGGTTTTCAATACTCATGGGGATTGTGAAGCTCCCAGCACTGGATGACTACTGGAAGGTTGACCCGTTTCTACACTTCCCCCCCATCGCCAGTCGCATTTCAAGGCAGCGTTTCAGGGACATCTCCCGCTACCTCCACTTTGTGGACAACACCCAGCTAGTGCCTCGTGGTCAGCCTGGCTACGACAAACTGGGGAAGGTGCGACCGGTCATTGACCACTGCAGTAGGGTGTTCAGGGAGAGCTACGACCCACACTGTGAATGCGCGGCTGATGAGGCAATGATCAAATGCCAGAGCAGGACATCCCTCAAACAGTACATACCACAGAAACCGGTAAAGAGAGGGATAAAAGTGTGGGTCAGGGCTGACAGCCACAATGGCTACTTCAGCCAGTTTGAGGTGTACCAGGGGAAGGGGAGCAACACGACACCTGAGCTTGGTCTTGGGGGGTCTGTGGTGAAGACCTTGACGCGGCCTCTTGTGGGAAAACACCACCATATCTTTATGGACAACTTCTTTACGAGCCCAGCACTGTTCATGGACCTGCTTCAGGATGGAATTTACGCCTGTGGAACAGTCAGATCCAACAGGAGAGGCTTTCCACAAGATCTGAAAGGGGAAACGAATCTTGAAGAACAGGTATACACACTCTACACACACACATATCTACAGGTATACACACTCGCATACACACACATCTACATGTATACGCACACTACATACACACACATCTACATGTATACGCACACTACATACACACACACATCTACAGGCATACACACTCTACATACACACACATCTACATACATACATAATTATTACGCTACATATATAGTTTTATAATACACACTTTTGCAGGGGGGATTTCACAGTTCGACAGTCTGGTCAGTTGACGGCAACAGTCTGGTTGGACAACAAGCAGGTGCAAGCGATGGCGACCAATGTCCAGCCAGATGTGAGAGGGACTGTCAGACGCAGGCACACTGACACCACTGTGCGTGAGGTCCAGGCACCGGCAGCAATAATTAGCTACAACAAGTGGATGGGAGGAGTGGACAGGGGTGATCAGCTACGGCAATACTACCACCTACGTCTAAAGAGCCGGAAAGTGTACAAGTACATTTTCCGGTTTCTTGTAGACGTTTCCATCGCCAACGCGTTCATCCTCCACAAGTACAACACCTCCACATCCACCAGACCGTCACCATTCAAAGCCTTTCGTCTCGAGTTGGCGAAAGGCTTGATAGGGGCGTACAACAGCAGGAAGCGTGCAGCACCAACAGCAGCTCCAGTTGTCCCCCGACCCCGACGACCAACATCAGTAGCCCACTTCCCATTGCGGCGACCAACAGGCAGCAAGAAGGGCATTGCTCGTTGTTGGTACTGCTCCCACACACGTCGGCCGCCACTGAGGAGAGAGACAATGTGGTACTGTGGAGAGTGCGACTTGTACCTCTGCCACACAGGAGTCAGAGAGACCGACTGCTTCATGGCACACCATGAAGCACTACTATGAATATTATGCATACTGCCGTATGTAACAACCTACGCAGCTAGCGCAAAGTACACGTAAAGCGGCAGGTTCTAACGGCAAACACATCACTTATGCTGTGTATAAACTTACCTACACAGGTTTCGTGAAGCTTTCAGGGACTCTTCTTCACATTAGCGCTGAGTTGCATATCCAAAAGCTCCGACGTCTTCTTGCTGGTAGCGCGGAACATGAGAATCACATCAGCCCGTCATTTTCTTACACAAATGTTGCCTAAAAACTTACCTTTACACCGTTGCAGAAGCTGCAAGGGACTCTTCTTCATAGTAACGCTAAGTTGAGTGTATAAAAGTTCCACCGTTTTCTCGCCAGGACGCCCGGAACACGAAGACCACGTGTATATACGTGGTTGCGAAATCCGGCCGCACACTTACGGCGTGCGCGCGCATGCACGCATAAAATTAACGGCGTGTAATCGGTTAAGATGATGGTGAGGAATTCCTTCATCTCGTTTGCATTTGTTGGATGCCACTTCCTGAACCGTGATCTCCTGGTAAGCCTCCCAGTGCCTCTCCCCCTACCCCTCCCCCTTCCTCCCATTGATCTCCCTCTCGCTCTTGCTCTCCCTCTCCCTCTCCCTCTCCCTCTTCCTCGCGTACGGACACTCTCTTTTCCTACTTCACTCTCTCCTCCAGACTCTGTTTCCACAGGCATCTCTGTTGTTGGTGTTTCTACACAAGATAGCGTGTCTTTACTGTCGCTTACTGTAGATTTTTTTGTACTGGAAAAAACTCCTCATCAACAGGCAACGGAAATGATGCATCTTCATTAATATCTGTCTCGTCTCTGGATTCAAGTTCGTCCGTAGTTCTGTCTAGCACAAGCTCCAACACCTGATCTGCATTCATCGCTATTGTTGCAAACTACGCGCGGAAGGTGGGGTAGCTGCTGCGCACACCAGCCCCACCTTTTATTTTGTACATGCACACACTGTGCGCCCACTCAAAGGTCAAAGGTGTAGCAAGGTCTAGGTTGTGCCAGCGAGTAGAGACGGCAACTAGGACGAAGAGAGAAGTGAGTTGTTCCTGCACGTCTGTATATCCCGGTCGCGTTGGCTTACATCGCATAACGAATCTATATGTAGATCCGCCGCGCGCAATGAGTGAATTTTTTCTTTTATCTATCTTATGCTCTTTATTGTATCATTGCTCTTTGTACCTCATGCTCCTTTACTGCAAAATATTAATTTTGTCACTTCAAGAGTAAGAGCACAGTCCCTCATTGAGGAGGAGGAACTTGAGGATGAGAGAGAACCGGTCACGACTGAGGACCTAGATGTAATTTAGTGGCATGTGTGAAACTATATGGTAGTATAATCATGTGTCTTGTGTATTATTTATATGTGGGGAAGAGTGCTACCAGAAGTCTAAAGTTCAGACAATTAGGTTCCTTTGGAGCATGTCTGGCTGGAGTATGGCCATGTTGTCACCCAGTGGTCTTCCAGTGTTGGCAGATGGACCCTCTACCGAGGAGGGAGATTATGCATCGACATGTATTGGTCAGCGTAGAGGTTTGTCCGGGTCATTATACTGTCAAGGATGTCGTCCGTCAGAAGCATGCTGAAGAAATCGAGTGGAGTAGCATTTTCGCAGGGATAGTTGCACCCAGGTGTGTGAGAGTATGGAGGCAGGTTGCTAGCTTCTCTTACCTCACATTCACCACTGATCTCCAGTCTATCACCATTCTCTCCTTCGCTCCTCCTGTTGACCGTCTGGCTCTCCAACATATCCCTCAAACTCATACCCCTCATGCACGCAGTATTGGTGTGTGTAGCGGGTGTGGGGAGGGCGAGGCTCCGGTGCCGAAGGGGGCGAGAGCCCAGGTCTCATCTGTCCAGCCTCCCCCATGGCTAGCATGTGCGGTCAGGTGGGGAGGGGGGTGCAGCGGGCGCCCAGGTGTTATACTTTTTCCCTCTTGGCATATAGGCACGGTCAAAGAGTTGGGGAGCACCCCCCTGGGGGATGCAGTGTGAAAGTTGGGTTTAACCCTTTGAGTGCATGCGCAGAATTGTGTGGGTCATTTGCAATCGCCATGCGCGTGCGCGGAAAAACGCGTTTTTAGCGAACGATTGTTGTAGCCAGGAAGTGCGTCGATTTCTACACTCTGCGAGACTATGAAAAGGTATACAGCTTGAGTAGGGGCTCAGTTCTTCAAAAGCAAACAGTGCAACAAGCACTATCTCTTCTGAACGGCTGGGGGGCAGAGGCCAAAAATGCAGTCCCTAACAGCCTGAGTGCGGGTCTCTTTTATACCATTACACTGAGTGGAAGGGGACAAAGGAACTTACAAATGATTCACCTCTTGACGGGGCCATTTGTAAGCTCAACTAGCCTGTACCGAGCGTAGTAAACTATAACAACGGTATAGCGGCACAAATTGGCAGCCGCTTTCTCGTGCGCAGGCGCGGAGAGATCGCACGCAGGAAGTGGGCATGTACCCGGGGGGACAAGCCTGTGTTGTTCTGTAAGCTGTGAACAACTGAGGCTGGAAACACCCGCCCCAGGCAAGCGGAGGAAAGCGATGTATGCGGACATGTGGCAGAGCGTATATATAAGCTTCCCGCGGGGAAGGGGGGTGGGTCCAACGACGTATATATATGCTTCCCGCGTTGAAACGGTTAATACGTATAGAGGACTCTGCAAAGGAAGGGACCTCACCGGGCGAGGGGTACAACCCACTCTCGGTGATTATTACCCTGCTTACAGCAGTGTCAGCAAGCAGCATGCAGTCAGATAGGCGGAAACCAAGCCCTCCAGATACTTGGTGGCGAAAGGTCTCCCCACCCTTCCGATGAAGGTTGTGGAGCACGTGGACATGGAAGAATTCTTGCCCACTCCTCGATCCTTACGGCTCACTGAGCAGGGGAGCGCATCCTCGTTCTAGGAGTCTCGTGGGGGGCTTCAGTCAATATCAGGCTCTGCAGCAGCACAAGTCCCAACGGTGGGTGGTGGATGGTGGATATAGGGACATGGACTCGCTGTTTCACCCTGTATATTGCGGTGCTCTCGAAGAAGAAGACGGCGGACATGGTGCCGAGCATGGTCGCTCACCTACACACTGTCATCCGCTTGCAACAGAAGGCCTCGCACCAGCTGGCTTGGTTGGAGTACGACTTCCAGTTCAGGATGGAGCTGGCGGCCTCTGCCGACCATGAATGGACAAGTGGAGACCCATGGCAATACGTCTCTTGCCTGCCGGGTCTTAAGCTGACCAATGACCATTTCGAGGTCTCTGAACTTGAGTCACAATCCCAGTCATCAGGGAAGGGCTAGGGTAAACTCCGCTGGAACAGGACCCCGAGAGGGGTGGAACACAGGAAAAGCAGCCAACCAAGAAAGCAAAGAAGGGTGTCTGCCGCCTTCGCAACACGGCACCCCAAGGCTGTCCATTCGGCAAGGAGTGCATTTTCACCCACTGCTGTACAGGCTGCGGTGCCATCGACGAGCACAGCCGAGCCTGCTGCCACCCAGAATCGGAACAAGGATGGCCAAGGATTCCAACCGAAGTAGCATCAGTGAGAAGAGCCTGCAGAACAAACTCGTGAACATTGTGTTAGCGTGTTGTGTTAATACCAGGCACTGTTTATCGGGTATATAGTGCGGGGTAAAGATGCAGGGCCAGTCGGCCACCTGGGGTGGGCTGGGGGGCCTCTTGGAGTCCGACAGGAGGAGTGTACAAGAATATAGCCAAGCGGATCAGGCAGTGGAGGGTCGTTAGTCGACCCAGTAGTGTTAGGTAGCAGAGGCCTCCCCTGAGCCGGGTGCGGGCCGCATGAAGGGCTATTCAGGTAGAGGGGGCGGGGGTTAAGATATTTGTGTTATAGATGACATTCCTGCAGGGGCGGGGGCCTATCCTTAGATTAAGGACTTGATCGAGTTCGAGCGGAGAGGAAGTAATGCAGGAGTCCCAGAGTGGCTTCAGCCTGTCACAACCACCCCGATATGGAGCAAGTGGCAAGGGGCTCTGCAGGACCATCCAGACGCGTTCCATAGACAGGAATCAGGTATGGGTTCCACATCGGTTTCAACCGGGAGCTCCGGTGTGAGCCAGCACCCACTAACATACACTTGGTGCTGGAGAATGCAGCAGTGGTGCGGGATTACCTCTCAAAGGAGGTCTCCCTTGGGTGGGTGATTGGGCCTATTCATCCAGCAGTACTCCCGGTAGGCACTCAGGTCAGCCCTTTTGGGGTGATCCCAAAATCCAGCAAGCCAGGCAAGTGGCAGCTGATAGTTGACCTATCCAGCCCAACCAACAAGAGTGTCAATGATGGGATCGACCCGGAGCTCTATCTGCAGCTGGATGAGGTACTGGAAGCAGTGGTCCGGTGTGGGAGAGGCTCTTTCCTGGCCATAGAGGGTGCCTATAGGATGGTCCCAGTTCACCCCCAGGACAGGCCCCTGCTAGTGGGCGGTCAGGTGTTCTTCGACACAAGACTACCGTTTGGGCTTAGGTAGGCCCCCAAGATATTTACTGTTGTGGGCGACGCCCTCCAATGGGTGTTCAAGAAACATGGAGTCACTTGGGTGGGGCATTATCTCGATGACTACATCACAATAGGGCCACCTGACTCGGAGGTGTATGAGAGGAACCTGAAGGTAATGCTAGCAGTGTGCAGATGGCTGGGTGTCCCCGTGGCCCCAGCCAAATGTGCAGGCCCAGCAGCCGTGATAGTACTCTTGGGCTTCGAGCTTGAGTTAGTGGTGAGGTTGCCGGAAGAGAAGCTGCTCACTGGTGAAGGAATGGGTGGTGAGAAAAGCCTGCAAATAAAGGGAGCTGGAATCCTTGCTGGGACACCTCCAGCATGCGGCTACAGTGATCCGCCCAGGGCGGACGTTTGTGCGTCGTCTGATTGAGCTGGTGGGATCATTTCAGGGACCACTGGGTCAGGCTGAGCGAGTCTTTTCGCTCGGACCTGGTGTGGTGGCTGACATTCATGGAATGCTGGAATGGGATCTCTCTAATGCCCAGTTGTCTACAAGTTCCGGTTCGGTAGTATCAGATGCATCAGGCACTTGGTGTTGCGGAGCTCACTGGGGAACCAGTCGGTTCCAGTGGAGGTGGGAAGGCCCGGCGAAAGAGTGGGACATCGCGGCCAAGGAGCTGCTCAATTATTATTGCACTTGTGGTTTGGGGAGAGCGTTGGAGGGGAAGGCACATAGAGTGCCACTGCGATAACATGGCAGTAGTGGCAGTAGTAAACTCTGGGCACTCGAGAGATAAAACGTTAATGCACCTTCTGAGGTGCTTGTTCTTTGTAGTAGCTCAGAAGAACGTGCGGGTCCATGCATGCCACTTACTAGGCGGTGGAAGAGTGAGGCGTACCAGCTTTACGTCAGACTTCCCTTGACTTGAACGACAAGCTCTCATCGATATGTCGCTCCTTAGCTAGGGCTCAGTTGTGATGCAGTTGACCAGCCACACCTCGCCCCCCAAGGATAAGGGTATAGCAGAGGCACACGCGTTATGTCAGGGGGGACTCCCTTCCCCGGTTGGGTTAACGGGGAAAGGAGGCATGGCAACATGAGGCCGACCCACCTACCCATCCGGAATTCCAGGAGGCATGCCCCCAGTAGGGGGTTAGTGAGCAGGCTACAGCTCCCTAGTGAAAGGTAGGAAGAAGGGATTAAAGGGTGCATTCGGCAGGGTCAGTAAGAGTGTAAAGTTAGCTTAGGGTCATGATGATATTATTTGCGTTAAATGTAGATAACGCAGAGTACAAACGTAACACGTTGGGTGAGTAGCGTGTGCACCCGCTTGCCTTCTCTTTCTCTGGCATAAAGCTCTCCTTTGCAACTGACCGCCTTCTGTGACATTTTACCAACGCTGATGCACAAATAGAGCATGCCACGCCTTCTGGTACTCGTGATAACATATCCAAGGTGCCACATGCCTCCCTCAACCCCCTCCACGGTGCCGACAGCATTGGTGGACCTTCTACTGGATCACAGGCGGAGTGGGCATCTCCGCTATGGCGCCGTCGGTTCAGTCTTATTTTAGACAGGGTCTGGCCAAATCCGAGCAGCAATGAAGCGCTTTCAAGGTTTCTCAGAACGGTTCAATGTCTCCACGCCGTTCCCTGTCATGGAGTACACTCTGTGCACCTTTGCGGCCTACCTGGAGGATCAAGGCCTGACCCCAAAGACAATAAAGGTGTACCTCGCAGCAGTGACGAATATTCACTCAACTCTGATCTGGGCTATTGCGAGTCTAGCCTTTTTGGGCTTCTTCCAACTCAGGGAGCTTCTAGTTGACTCTGTGACCAGCTACTCCCCATCCACCAGTCTCTCTTGGGGCAACATAGCCATGGACAATATCACGGCCCCATCCATGCTCAAGTAGCCATTTGGCTGCATGGTGAGACTCTCGTCAACCAACGATGAAACAAATACGAAATACCCAATACAAGCTGATGAGGAGGCGGCCCAATAGCAAACAGTTGTAAAAAAAAGTGTAAAAGTGCTTGGTCCAGGTCATGAAAACAAGGAACAACGGGTCAAGAAAACAAGAAACAACATCTATATAGCAGACATTTACTCCTTGTACGTATGTACTAGATGACACACACTTCAAAACGTTATGCTAATGATGCGTGTGTATGTATGTATGTATGTATATTACTTCGTGTAGAAACATATGTCAGGGGTGTGGTCCGGAACGTATATAAACTACATGTTAGCTACATGCGCGCATCACACAGGCTCTCGGGCACCCTACGGCGAGCCAGAACTAGGAAAAGGGCTCCACACAGTATAATCAAACAACTTCATCACAAAAGTTCTCTCAGAGCCATTGATGGTTAACACGACCGTTTTGCAAAGAAATCAGTCCAGTCATTTTACATGGCATAAAATCAGGTGTCAGGCATCAAAAGGCGTTGTTAGACGTAAACGCACATGAAAGAAATTAACTGCAACGCGAAAAAAACTCGTCTTTCGTGCATTACGCAAACCTGGCGCGTGGTTCTCTTGACCAGTTCGAGGTATGCCCAGAAACACATGTGTCTTTTGGCATGCAGTACCTCAAGTTTGCGAGCTTAACTCCCAGTATTTTCCATCTCCCGTGTTAAAGCTCTGGGGACCTGGAAAATCACATTGTTTTGCAGAAACAGCTGGGGGGCGGCATAATTTTACTGAACCAGAACATGCCACCCTATGTAGTGTTCATGCTATTCAAGTTCCTGACCTTAACACTTTGCGCGCCGCGTAGTATTACGGAAATTTCTCCGCGTACACGGAATTACGCATGCGCGGAATATTGCCACGTCCATCCACGTAATACATAATTCCGCGCCACTAAAGTGGCGCGTGGCGTTGCTGAGCAATTACGCGCGCGCCATTTAAGTGGCGCGTGGCACCCATAGTGTTAACTCCCTGTCTTATGGAAATGCTGTGCCACTTCACCATTACTGCAGATTGTGTCACATGAGTGTCAGCTGACATCATGTGATACGTATCAGGTTAATCAGCAGAGATTGGGGATCATTTTGATATGCTGTGTGTGTGCATTGCTGATTTCATGCTGCATGACTGAGAATATCACCAGAGAATCAAAAAGTGATTATTCCTGTCTCTTTGTGTGCAGCACTGTATATACTTACGTAACGGAACAGGCAGATAGAAGAGCCTTTGTTTCGTTCGCAGACTTCCTCCTTTTTTCACTCTCACCATCAGCCCTCCATGTCTTGTTACTGTCGAACTGAACCCACTCTCCACACACTTCTGCAATAAATCACAGGGAATAAAGACAACATTGAAATTCATCAAAGGTGACAGAGTAGCAAAAAGAAGCACGGATTACCTTTACATGTGCGGGAAGCTGTGTGGCGTTTGCTAAGTATAGCCCATATTTTGCACCACCGTTACCGCATAGAACCGGCCATCTAGCAGTTATGTAGAGCGTGTGAGGCAAGTTAGAATTCAAAACATGCGCAGCTTTTTCTCCTATTTTCCCACCTTATTAATTATCCATAATGCAAAGATATTGGCCCACTGCATGCAACGTGTTAAGCACACCAAACAAAAAAGCTGTTGTGCTACACAGGAATAACCGCGCAACGAGCATGGCTTAGAAAGAACGAGTACAGGGAAAGGGAGTCTGTTGTTCCCAAATGCTATCCACCACAGTATATAGCTAACCAATCAATAGAAAACACTTTGTGCATTCTCTGTGTACAAGGTTTAGCACATTGGGTGTTTTCTTTTATTTCACACCCATTTAGTAAGTACAAGTAAATTTAAAATCCTGCGAATTTCAAACCATATAGGGATAGTATAAAAAGAAAAGGAGACAAGATAGGGATGGATACATCAAGCATGGTAAATGAACAGATTTGAGCTGACACCCCAATCACACAATCCCTATATGTTGCCAGGGTGTAAAATAGTGAGGACTTACAGCTTGAAAATACAAAAAAAAGTCACGCTACTCGGTAACCAATACCGTTACCATAACAATGTGTAGCTTGAAAAGTCATGCCACTGACAAACCAAATGGAGTTTACAAGTGGCACACCAGGCAACAATATTGGGATTGTGTGATGGGATCAGGGGTGTCAGCATGCTCAAATCTGTTTATTGACCATGTTTCATGTATCCCACCCACACCCCGTCTCCTTTTCTATACCCCTTTTTAAATTCACAGGATTTTAATTTACTTGTCTAACGACAAGAAATACACTGCAGTAAACACACAAAACTGTGTCGGTACAGTACTTATGTACAACGAAACAACTGTACCACTGCTCTCTCTTATTTGCTGGTTCAGCAAAATCTGTGGCTCCCAGTAGTTATTACGCAGCCACTGCAGCCCGAAATCTGTGGCGCATTTAAGGGACTCCAGTGAAGGTAAAATCCCATGAACACACTCGTGACGTAGAGACACAATGTAGGATGGCACACCAAACTACAAAAAAACATATGCAACATTTCAGTAACATCATCGCACCAAAGCACTTACATGTCCCAAAACTGTTTTAATGTCTTTAAAGCCAGGCAAACTTGTCACATAGTGAACATCAAAAACTCCATTTACAAATCTGAAAAGAAAAATAAGCACATGCACTTCACAAGGGTGGCATCAATACCACTAACATAACCACACCCCTACAGAGGTTCATTAACCCTCGGCGCACATGCGCAGCGAGGGTCACAGTAGTTGGTTTGTCTGTCTCTCTGTGTGTCGACGCTTATTCTGGCACTACAGGCTACGAGGCGGCCTATTAGCGATGCCAGCGGCTTCAGAACTACGCGAGCCAGAAAAGTTAGTGGGTGATTTTCCTGAAACGACAGCATTCGAGAGATATGCCGCAAAAAAAGCGAAAAAGCCAATATGGAAAACTAGCACAGGCTTACCTCGCCCGGGTTCACTTGCTCTGTGTACCTTGGAGGCACACGAAGTCACGACGAATGGCGTGTATCGACTCCCGCATGCTATCTACTACTGTAGCCACCCCATGTCAGACTCTCCGCGAGCTATTAGCGGGAGACCATGAGTAAACACATACAAATAGCCCAGCCCATCAATTAGCAGTATCGCGCATGCGCAGTTCGCCGAGGGTTTGCACTTTAGTGCTTTTCATTTTTGGAGCATAAATGAAAAGCACTAAACTGCAAACCCTCGGCGAACTGCGCAAGCGCAATACCGCTAATGGATGGGCTGGGCTATTGGCGTTTACTCGCGGTCACCCGCTAGTAGCTCGCGGAGAGTCTGACACGGGCTAGCTACGGTAGTAGATAGCATGCGGGAGTCGATACACACCCTTCACTGTGACTTCATGTGCCTCCAAGGTACACAGAGCAAGCGGACCCGGTCGATGTAAGCCTGTGCAAATTTGCATATTGGCTTGTTCACTTGGTTTTCACGCCATAACTTCTGAACGTGGCACTTTTTTATGAAAATCGCCATTTTTAAAAATGAAGCCAGTGTAGCGCTGAATCCATTGGTGCCACTATTTTACATGTTTGTTGCACGTGGTAACAGACGGACTGACAGACCAAGTACTGTAACCCTCGCCGCGCACGCGCCGAGGTTTAAATATCTGTACAGAGCGGAAGACGGCCGAACAACACTGGCTTGAACAGCAGAAGACGGTCCCTAGCTTGTAGACACTTACTGAATGTGACAGTAGCGTGTACCAAGCGGCAATTAGTATCAGCCGCCATTTTGTTAGTTTGTCTTTGTTGGGAAATTTCCGATCACGTCAAAAACGCCCGTACTGGTACATCCCTTTTAATATTTTGACCTCACGTTCAATTAAAACTCTTTGGGGCCGAATATAGTTTTTTACGCTGCGTATTCACGCGCATGCGTATTGCGCGCAATGCGCAACAGTGCGTCGCCACACCTCCACGTGGATTTCGCGCTATACGCAAGGGTAGACAAAGACTGGGGATGGAGAAGACGCTCGTGTGTGTGCTTTTTGCCGCAACAGAGAGTTCATCTGAAGTTTTTGACCCTTCTTGGAGTTCAGGAAAGCCAGTGGTCAAGGTATGTCATTGTAACACGCAGGTAGCATATGACTTTCTAACACACCGACTGAATTTCGAACTAGTGTCTGAATTGGTATATGCCGTTGTTTTGAAGGGTCCCTGAGATTGCATTCTGTTTTGTGTGAGCCCTAGTTTGTGTTCAGGGTGGGTAGTCCCGCTTTGTCTTCAGGGAAGTGCGCTATAATTAGAGTTAGCTACATACACATAGCCTTGCGCGTTGTATGTGGTGTCACGATCAGTCAGTTAGCCAGCGCCTAGCATGCTGTTTCTGTCGGGCACCACGTGGAGGTCGACTGATCTTGCCCGACTAGACAGGACGCACATGACAAAACCAAGGAGACATACAATGTGCACCACACAGAACAGAGTTACAACACACATGCTAGTGCACTGGGTGCAACAGCATGACACAAAAGGAACACAAAGTGAACAAAAATAAGGAAGACATAGGATATAGATGGGGGGGGGGTAAAGGGATATAGGGATATGTAGGAGGGAAGGGGATAAGGAGGGAATACAGGGAATATAGAGGGGGCAAGTACAAGGCAACAGGAGAGAATAGTAAGTGATGGCAAGGGAGGGCGGGGCTGGGAAGGGGGTGTAAAATTTCACCCTCTCTTACCATCATACATGGAGGAAGGGAGAAGAGGAGGGAGAGTGGGAGGAAAGTGAAAAGAATGACACAAATAGCATATGACATAAAGGTGTGTTACAACTAATGTTGGTGCCAGAGCCTGAAGCAGTCTGAGCCATCCCCAGTCCCAGTGAAGCACAGTGGGGGGGTGGTCAGTGCACTCGCTGCAATAGAATGATGTGTCCTTCCTCCTAGGGGGGTCTCTGCACTGTGTGCAGTAAGCACATCTCCTTCTCTTCTGCATGCGAGATGGCAGGTGGAGAACAGCGCTGGATGGAGGAGGGCAACTGACTAGTGCTCGGGGAGGGGGGACATGGACTGAGGGACGGCCCAGTGCCTTGCGAGAGTAGTAGTTGCCTACCAACTGCTCAGCAAGTTTCAGGCGGAACTGCTTCAGTCGCGTCTGGCTGGTTGACATAGTGGTGGGAGCGAACGTGGATAAAATGTAAGCGTTTGTGATGGCTACATCAAACAAAAACCAAAATATGTACTTACAGTTCTTGAGGCATTTAGTCCTGACGTGGTAGTACTGCCGGTACTGATCACCTTTATCCACACCCGCCATGTACCGATTGTACAGCACTACCGCATCAGGGCACTGTACGGGGGCGCTAGTGCCGTCCCTCTGCCTCTTGTGTACAGTGTGTGTGACATCTGCCTGGGCGAGTGTGGAGAGCATGTTGACTGGCTTCTTATCCATCCAGACAGATGCACAAGGTCCCCTCGCTGGCAAAACACGTGCTCCCCCCTCCCTGGTCGCATGTTTGAGCGTCTCGGGGAACTGTCTGCGGGTTGGGCGAGCTGTACCACACCCGTAGAGTTGGTGGGTCGACAGAGTGTCGAAGAGGCGGCAAGTGCTGAAGTAGTTGTCGCAATAGATCTGGTAGTGGCCACCTCTCAGACACTCTGTCAGCTCCAGCACAACCCGCTCCCCAAGACCAAAATCAGAGGTCGTCTCCCCATCTACGGCTCTCCCGGTGTACACTTCGAAGTCGCAGAAGTACCCGTTGACTGAATCTGCCCTCACCCATACCTTGAATCCCCTCTTCGTAGGCTTCATAGGCATGTATTGTAACATGTAGGACCGACCTGTGTGCATGTGTATAAGTGTATTTGTGAACAGTTGAAATTGTGATAATTCTTATTGTATTTTTTTACCCTTGTAGTCGATCATCGCCTCGTCTACGCTGTTCTGGGGGTGAGGGTTGTAATTCTCCCTGCACTTCGTCTTCATGTGGGTGATGACAGGGAGAACCTTCTGCAGACGGTGGTACCCCGGCTGATTCCGTGAAGGTAGGCTAGTGTTGTCTACGAAGTGTAGGTACCGTGAAATCTGTTCAAAGCGGTCGCGGGTTATCCTTGATGCAATGAAGGTGTTGTGCATCTTCTCGTCAGTGGACCAGTAGTCGCGTATCTCAGGGAGACGGTTGATCCCCATCACGATCATGAAGCTGAGGTAGGCTTTCAGCTCTTCGACCGTGGTCGTCCATGTGGCGCGACTGTTAGCTGCAGCGAGGCATTGCGCAGCATATCTTTTGAGCAGGCCATGGTCGAAAAAGTGGGAAAACATCTCCAGTGGATCCCTCGAGGTGGGGACACGAGGTCCAACTGGTTGTGCATGGTTGTACTGTGACCGGTGATGGAATCATGGTCCAGCCTGAGTGCGAATGTTACTCATACCGTTCTCCTGGTCTGCAGGGTCCAAAATAGTAGCCCTGCCTGAGTCGCTCTCAGTTGCTCTTCCCCTCTCTCTCTCTCTCCTCTCCCTCTCCCTCTCCCCCTCCCCCTCCCTCTTCCTCTAGGTCTCCCTCTCCGTCCCCCTTCCTCTCTCGTGCTTGTCTCAGATTGAGCTGCAAGTCCATCCTCCTCGTTCGTCCACTCCATATCACTCTCACTACTCTCTGAGCTATCCATTAGTCCCGGACTGCTGGCAGCAGGGATTGGCTCTGGATCTAAAAGATTTTTACTAGCTCTAACCTTTTTTGGTCTTATTGTTTTTGGCTATTATTTCATGCAAAAAAGCATACCATCGTCCATATGCTCAGAGTCTGACTCGTGGCCATCAAAGTCCGAGTCCATCCCCAGATCATCGTCGCTACCATCAAAGATGGACTCGGAGAGGCTGCCAGGGTCCTCTCCAGCGAACAACTGTATTACTGCATCAGCTGAGATGCGCTGTGCCATCGCGTAGTGTAGCTAGCAGAAACTGGGAGGAGCTGGAACGGACTGGGTGTAGCTACTAAGCCTGCGCGTTGCAGCGGGTACGCATTGCGGTACAGCGCAAGCCCGCGTGTTTGGTCATGATGACGTATGTACCCAAAAGGTCATAGTTTTAGTCTATTTGTGGGCAAAGTAATATCCAAAAAGCCTCTCAGCACAAGTAAAGACGCTGGAGGAAGATGCCGACTCCTGCAGCCCGCGAAAGGTCGAGGTAAGCGTTCACACGGAGTACCTACCACCGCGCGGAGCGAATGCATTCCGCGTTATCACGCATTGACGCATATTTGCGTCCTCGGCCCCAAAGAGTTAAAGACTTAATTCTTCTCTGCCTCTAACATGAAGTCAGCATAAAAAGGAAAAAAACCAGTACAGGCAAGTCTCATTTGTGACATTTTTTGTGGTTGCCTGACGAGCACAAAAGCACTGAAGTGCAAACCCTCGGCGCATTGTGACGCGCACACGTAAGTAAACATATGCGCCGTACCACTAATTGATGGGCTGGGTTGTTTTAGCTGTTACTCGTGGTCGCTTGCCAGCTCGCGCAGAGTCTGACGGGGGCTAACTACACTCATAGATAGCATGCGAGAGGCACGAACAGACAGACACACAGACACACTGACCCAACTACTGTACCCTCGCTGTGCATGCGCGCTGAGGGTAATGACAACACAAAGGAACACTCGAAACAGGCTATACTTACACTCTCGGTCATGCGCAGACTCACTGAGACACTGTAGCTATGTCTTCATGTGAGAAACTAGGAATGCGCACGCGCATATTTTGCCTCGCGCATGCCAGCCAATGCGTAAACAGTCCGACTGAGGCCGCTCGTGCGCGCGTTCTACTGACTGCGCGCGAAGCCAGACTTCCTACGAATCTGTGTGCACAGCGGAAGCTAGACTTCCTACGAATGACGGAAGTTGACATTCCTAAAGCGTGACTAATTGACATTCTTAAGCGTGACCGACACGTAGTATATCGCGAGAATACAACCCGGAGTAGTTGCCTCACGCTAACGCGCTCGGCAATAAACTGCGCACAGCTTGCAGTGCTCGAGAGCCGCAAGGTCCTTTGCCGCAACGAGAGGTAGCCACGCCCCACTATGTCAGAGAAAAAGCAGCTCTTCTCACCAAGCTGCTGGCAGCTCTGGTGTGGGGTGTGGTGTTTTCAGTGGTCTTCGGCGAGACACGGTAATACATTGCTGAGAAGAAGTTGCATGCCTAGCAACAGCCTGCTGCCGCTGAAACCAACGACTTACACTGCTTGCATCTCGGCAGGCCTTGTTTAGTATGAAAACCATAAGTGTATGTAGCACAGGCGGTGGGTTGGAAGCAGTCCGTCCCTGTTTTTTATCTTGAACTGTACGGGTGCGAGCCAGCCCTTGAAGTTGAGACTGTTTTACGTTTGCTTTGACGTTTGTTGTCTTGTAAAGGCATGGAGAGCGGCTCAAGCGACAAACATGCTGACAATCCGGCTTACGGACAAACGATCAAAAACTGTGAGATTCTCAAACACAAGTGTTTGGCTAATTATATGCATGGGGAACTGAAAGTGCAATGTGAAAGGAAACTCACACCCACACCGTACACTTTTCTGTGCAAACCCTCGGCACATTACGCATGCACGGCATCACTTATTGATGGGCTGGGCTGTGTATGCGTTTACTCATGTGGAGAGATACAGGCTAGCTACACTACAAGATAGAATGCCGATGCGGGAGTCAACACACGGCCTTCGTGGTGACTTCTTGTGCCTCCACAAGGTACAAAGAGCAAGCGGATCGGTCGAGGTAAGCTGGTGCGATTATGCACATAGGCTTTTTCGCTTGTTTTCACAGCATATCTCTCGAACACACTTCAGGAAAAGCACCCTTTTATTTTTCACGTTCGCGTTGTTCTGGAGACATTGGTATTGCTCATGGGCCGCCTCGTAGAGTTTTCAGCAAATGTATCGACATTTTTCTGAAAACTCCGTCGCAGAGACACTAGTCCGTCTAGCGGATCACATCTGAAACTCCAAAGGAAGATTGAGACATGCCTCCATAACCTTGTCTCATACAGCCACCAAGATTTTCATACATGAAACAGAAGACTTCGCTGTCACAGGGACCATACTAGGCTCAATGCAATGTCGGTGTCTTCTACCCAGCGTGCTTTTCGCGAACCAATGGTTTCTCCAAGTTCCACCCCTCCCCCTCCCCCTCTATAATGCAGTACTAGGGCAACTGCCTAGTATCACAACACCCACAAACACTACTGAAAAGCCACAGACCGCCAGGTATTGTTTGAAATTCCTATTGTTTCGCAATCAGCGCTCCGTAAACTACCAGACCACTGAACACCAGCCATACCTGGTTACGGCTGCAGCACACATTAGCCTAAGAACATCCCCACAGAACTGAAGATTCTGGGTACACTCTTCCTCGTGAACCACACAGCTCACAAGATCTGCAGTAACTTCCAATAGAGCTGGAACACTACCACGAGCTTTCCAAGCCGCCACCTAGAGCAAAATAATCGGAAATGAGTGAAGAGAAAATCCGTCTGAGGACGAACGAAATGCACTCACAAACCCGCGATAGTCCATTCCGTTTACGGTCAATTTCTGAACTGTAGAGCATTTCAAAAACATCTTCCCACTCCTCAGAATCGCTCCAGGGACAAGCCGACATCACCGCCAAGCACTGCGCTACGATGACGACGACGGGCAGAGTACACGTGGAGCAAGATGTTGTGCGCATGCTCATTATATGTCCGGCCCCGATTCCATTCTGCAACAAAGGGGCGTACCTTCAACGGTCTCCACACGTACCTAGCTAGCTAGCTAGCTATACACGTGTACGTACGTGTGAGTGATCCCCTGAGGAAACTGCGGCAGTGGAAGTAAGCTACGTGTAAGCCATAACTTTTTATTGATGTTCATAGTAGTACGAACTTCTGTTTCTTAGAGCTTACTGGTACAGTTTGAAGTATTATAGAGCCCATACTCTCAAACCGGTGCGGGCGGCGCCACACTTCTGCAGAAAAAGGGGGAGGATCTGCTAAGGGGGTGTGTCACCTCGGACAATGGCTCAGCTTACGCTGCTGCTGCTAACGCTACTGGCCCTCCACTGTGGAAGGGTGCTGACCCAACCAGAGTACGTGAACGGTGAATGCTATGCAGACGGTGCTCCGACCCGATGTGAGCCAGTTAGAATGTCGTTTTCTCTCTTTCAACAAGCAACAACATCAAGTACGTGCGGCGCTCCGCCTGCGCCATTCTGCGTCCGTTCAGTCTCGCTGGGCAGAGTCGTCAGTGACTGCAGGGGAGGGGACATCTGCGATGCTAGCGATCCCAACAACGACCACAACGTTCTTTACCTAACGGACTTCCCACTCAACAGCATGTGGTGGCAATCAGAAAACAGCTTGACCTCAGACGACCGCGTTGTTATCGACATACTGCTTTTGACTCTCGCCGAGATTTCGTTCATTTCTTTTGACTTCCACGGCATCAAAGCGGCCGCCTTTCACCTAGAAAGGTCCAAGGACTATGGACTGACTTTTGAGCCATACCACTACTTTGCAATATCCTGTGAGAATACCTTTGGCATGCTTCCAGACGCAGAGCTGACGACTGTCAATGAGACGACCGTCCTTTGCCAAACCATACAAGAGCCCCCAACTCCAGGAATTATCACTTTCTTCCCTGCCATAGATCGCCCCTCTGCCAATGATTCCCAGCCAGGCTACAGCGAGGCCCTCTACCAGTTTGTCACAGCAACCAATGTCCGTGTTATTTTCGACAAACACTATGAACTACAACTAGCAGAAGAGGATCCTGGGTACTACTATGCACTGGATGATATCAATGTCATTGGGAGTTGTCAGTGCTACGGACATGCTTCTCGGTGTATAGAGGACAGCATGACAGGCCTGTATCAGTGTGTTTGCCAGCACAATACAACAGGCACATACTGCGAGAGGTGCCAGGATTTCTACAATGATGTACCATGGCAAAGGGCAGATGGCAGTGGATCATTTGAATGCAAAAGTTGGTTTTGAGTTTCATTTAGTTCTCAAGGAGAGTGTGTGTGGTGTTTAGCAAAATTCACACGTGCATTTATAGCCCAGGCTATGTGTGTTTTCCAGTATTCATGCTCATGTAAGGTCTACCTACCACTCTGTAGTGTGCAACTGCAACAACCACAGCAGCGAGTGTGTGTTTGATGAGGGGGTGTATGCAGAGACAGAGTTCACCAGCGGGGGAGTGTGCCAGAACTGTGATGGCAATACAGCTGGACGGCAGTGTGAAACTTGTGCACCTTTCTACTACTCCAGGCCTGACAGACAGCAAACAGATCCTGATGTTTGTCAAGGTATCCATTTCTCATTCCGTGAGCATAAAAATTGCTGCAAAACTTGCCTGACCTCCATTTGCACACATTCTACTAAAATATTTCTGGCCTCAGGGATGCATTCTGCATACTGAGTTAACTCACGGTCTTTCTCAATCACCCTAAATGAAGAACCTTCCATTAGAAGTTGTTATTGTCAAAAGACTCTCACATGGCCTCACGGGACACTTATCACATTTATCTGCCATGATTGAGGATCCTTTTGATCCTTTTGTGTGCGTTGCTTACAGAAAATTGGGCAAACAGTGAAAATGTTAACATTTTGTGCTTGGCTCTATAGTTAGTGAATGTGCTTATTATCTACGTGTGCGTGTGCGTGTGTGTGTGTTTGTGTATTGAAAGGAGAGTGCTAGGCATTGAGTGGCTTTTGTACGCGGTACACTAATGTGTGGGGTTTGGGTTTTTTTAAATTCCTATGCACCACAGCCCGATCTCCCGCCCGACGATAGCAACTGGCGGCCCTTGTGTCAGGTTAGTCTTACTTCATAGTATAAGAACCAGTCATCTGGCGAGCCCCTCAGCAGATCATCGTGTACGGACAGGTTTCGGTCCCTTGTGCCTCACTATCACTGAGGCGGGACCACTCCCACGTAACGGAGTCTGGTATGCACGCAGTTCTGTCAGTTTGTCTTGCTATCGTGCTATAGTTCAGTTTGTCCGTTTTTTTCTAAGTGCTATTTTAGGTTGTGACAGTAAAAGAAGGTATTATGCATGCACATGAAGTTTACCTACATCCTTACTGCCTTGTTGTGACAAGATTAGACAAGATACACATACCTGCCTTGTGTCTGCTGGCATCTTCTTACAACCACCGCCAATAATTGCGTGAGCGGCTGAGCATGCGGGTGGTTTTTTACTACAATTACAGGGATGGCAAAGGGGATTTTTTACTCTGAATGTGTGTGTGTGTTTGGTATGGGTTAAGAAGAGAAAGGAGGGAAGGATTTGTGGGGAACGAGGTGTAGTGACAGAGACGGGGGGGGACTTGTCGGCGTCATCAAGCACAGGACCACCAGACATACACTCAGGCTGTGCATGGAGTTACAAACCTCAGTGTGCTTGTGTGTGTGTATGTGTGTGTGTGGCAGCTAATATTCATTTCTTCTGTGAATACACTTAGTACATGATCAATGTACATTATCGTGATTACACAGCATGCCAGTGCAGCTTGGAAGGTGTTGTTGACAGTGGGGATTGTGTGAAGAAAACAGATGGTGTGAACCAACCAGGTGACTGCTACTGCAAAGCCAATGTCATGGGGAAACAGTGCGACATGTGCATTCCTGGCTACTTCAATCTCTCTGCTAGCAACCGTGATGGCTGCCAAGGTAGGCACACAATCACACGCTATAGTGATTCATAGAGTTAGGTTTTTTTTCTACTTCAGCATGCAGTTGCAGTGCAAATGGTAGCACCAATCAGACATGCAATCACATTACTGGAGAGTGTGAGTGCATGCCATACGTGGTGGGTCCACAGTGTGATTCCTGTCAAGAAAACTATTATCAGCCCGACCCCAACCAGGGCTGTTTACCCTGTGACTGCAACCCTGGAGGTTCTACAAGCGCCCAGTGTGATATGGCTGCTGGTCAGTGTGACTGCAAACAAGGAGTGACTGGAATGAAGTGCAATGAAGTGGTCCCAGGGAGCTTCTTTCCGGCTATTGATCACCTACGTTTTGAAGCAGAGTCAGCAGTCCTTGTCCCGCCATCAGTACTTACCCTCACAAGTGGGGAGGGGGAATCATTTACTGGCACTGGTTACTACAGAGTGGTCGAAGGGGAAGGGATTGCAAGATTCGATCGTTCAGTGACTTTTCCACAGAGTGGAACCTACGAGGTGATCTTTCGCTACAACCTTGCTGGAGCTCTTTTTTGGGAGACTGTCACTCTGACAATACGCACTGAGCTAGGAGAGGAAGAAGCACAAGTGGTAGACTGTGGGAGTGGTACTGAGCTACCAGTTGCGATACAAGCATTGAGTATAGATCTTGGAGCATGGGAACTGGGGTGTACATTTCACACACACTTTGCTTCCAAGCTGGACATTCATACACCTTCATCCTAAGCGAGCTAATCTCTGGTCAAAGCTCTTCTCCTATACTGGATATAGATTCCATGGTGATAATTCCAATTGATATCCCTGGGTTGGCTGTATTTGACAATAGCCAACTGGTCGCAGACTACATGGGTTGTGTCGACTCTTGGCGACGAGTCACTACCATCAGTTCAGCTGAATCTATCTGTGAGAGTATCACTTTTACTTTCTCTACTGCCGTCTACGATGGTGCACAAGGTTTGCATTTTAGGCCACAGATTTTGTTAGTGAGTCACCTGTAACATTTGATTTCAGAGTGTGATTGTGACCCGACTGGATCACTAGCTGGTACGGTCTGTGAACCGTTTGGGGGTCAGTGTGTCTGTCTTCCTGGTGTTCGTGGACGGACATGTGACGATTGCAGACCAGGCTCCTTTGGTTTCTCTTCCAATGGATGCACATGTTAGTGAACACCTCATCTGTTATGCGATAATAGTTGAATGTCTTTGCTTCACACAGCTTGCTTATGTGATTCTGTGGGCTCTGCTAATCAGTTTTGTGAGCCTGATATGGGAACCTGTGAGTGTCTTCCCAATGTGGCTGGTCCTGACTGCTCCACATGTGAACAAAGCTTCTGGGGACTGAGTGATGGCGGTGGTTGTGTATCATGCTCCTGTGATGAAATAGGTAAACTGAGACAGCCACGTAGAGAGCACGACTGTAATAATACAGTACAACATTTCTGTCTGTTTAGGTTCCAGTAGCCAGCAGTGTGATGATCAAAGTGGAGAGTGTGAATGTAGGCCTGGTGTGGTTGGCTCGCAATGTGACTCATGCGAAGATGGATACTTTGGATTCTCTAGCGATGGCTGCAGGTAAACCGAGTTTGTTTAGCTGTAGGGTATAAAAGGAGAAAAGTATTTGATGTACGTTGTCCACAAAAGTTATTTCTGTTAGTGAAGACATTTGTATTGTGCGACTGGCAGTCCATAAAAGGTTTGTTTGTGAAGTTTTCTCCTCAATGGCAGAAATGTTCTCCTGCGAAAGTTTCCTGTTACAGTGCAGTATTTTTGGAAGTTGTCATCACAGATGATTCATTTATGTGTGGTTCTTTTTCCCAGCCAATGTATCTGCAACCAAGCTGGCTCTGCGGGACAAGAATGTGACACAGTTACTGGGCAATGCACATGCAAGGAGAACACAAGAACCAGAGACTGCTCGGGGTGTGTTCCTGGCACATTCAACCTGCAGGAAAACAACCCGTCTGGATGCCAGCCCTGCTACTGCTCTGGCCTCGGAGTCACTTGCTTCCCTGCTCCCAGCTACGTAGCAGCCAATATCAGCACTGACTTTAGCGCTGGTACTCAGGGATGGACCGTGCTCACAGAAAACCTCTCCCCTCATCCTGACCCTGACTCTGTCATTGCCATACTGCCATTTACAAGTGGACTTACCATCTTTCCAAACTCAGCCGCATTCTTACAAGCACCTCAGCATTACCTAGGAAATAGATTAAGCTCCTACCTTCAGTCTATAGCCATTAGCCTGGAATCACAAAGTTCTTCGGTTGGAGCTGAAACGACAACACCAATTGATGTAATTCTTAGTGGAAGCAACATTGAGCTTGGGGCAAAGTTTTCAAGTAGTATCATAGAAGGTGCCGAGACTTTTACTCTTCTACTGCACGAGAGTTATGGATGGTTTCACACTGACGGTAATGTGGCAGCTACTGCAGAAGATATACAAGCAGCACTGTATTCCTTAGATGGCCTCTATATTACAGCAGGCTTCAATTCCAGCATCATACTAAGAAGCATACACCTCAATACAGTTCAAGAAAGTGTTGGTATTAGTGATCCATCAGCAGTTACATGGGTGGAACAGTGTGATTGTCCCACTGGCTACGGTGGTCTCTCATGCCAGGTGTGTTCAACAGGATACACGAAATCACCTTCTGGATCGTGCAAACCATGTCAGTGCAACGGCTTTAGTGACTTGTGTGACCCTGATACTGGAGTCTGCATTGGCTGCACGGGATCTACAGGGGGAGACTTTTGTGGCCAGTGCCTGCCTGGAACCCATGGTGACCCAACACAAGGAATTCCCTGTCTGCCATGTCCCTGCCCACTCACCACAACACCGGGGCAGTTTACTGACGCTTGTATACTTCAACCGCCTGACACTATAGTGTGTTTAAATTGCCCCGATGGACACACAGGCAGCCGCTGTGAGTCCTGCAGTACCGGCTTCTTTGGAGACCCAACAGGAGAGAACGGCATTCCCACTGGCTGCTCTGACTGTCTTTGCAATCGGAATATTGACAGCAATCTTCCCAATGCCTGTGATACAACAACTGGCATTTGTTTGCAGTGCATCAACAACACAGCTGGAGACATGTGTGAGAGATGTGCCGATGGCTTTTTCGGAGATGCTATTGTTGCAAAGAATTGTACAGGTATGTGGAAAATCTCTACAAGTAAACACAGATCATAACCTGTTTTCCTTTATTTTTTTAGTGTGTGACTGTGATCCCACTGGGTCCACAGACAGTAGCTGTGACCACCAGACAGGAGCATGTGTTTGTCTAGAATATGTCACAGGGGGACGTTGTGAGCATTGCTCCCCTGGCTACTATGGATTCAACAGTGGGACAGGGTGTGTAACCTGCAACTGCAACCTAGAAGGATCAGTAGACACCCAGTGTGACCCTGAGACCGGGCAGTGTAGCTGCAAACCTGGTGTAACTGGTCAGCTCTGTGACGAATGTGCAACTGGGTTCTTTGGTTTTTCTCAGAACGGCTGTCAAGGTAGGTAATAATATTCATTCTATGTGCTCCCAAAGGAATTTGAACTCTACATATTCAGCTTGCAACTGCTCTACAACAAACTCAGTCATCAACACCTGTGATGCTAGTGGGACATGCCAGTGTCAGCCTGGTTCAACTGGGCCAAACTGTGAAACATGCGTTGAGAACTACTACCAGGATGTACAAGGATGCTCAGGTATGTGAAATGATTTCTGCATAGAGGTGTAATATACTGCTTTGTATTAAAATTCAGAATGTCCTCAGTGCTATCAAGAACTGCAAACAAGGTTCTACAATACATCTACTGTGCATGACCAAGTAGAAAGCAGCCTTTTCAATCTACTAATCGAGACTTCACCCTATGATCCACGACTTCAAGAGGAACAAGAAGATGTTCAGGAAATAGCTGATCTTGGACAGGTATATATTCAGCAACATAGCCAGCTCCAAGTGCAGGTGGCCTACCTCACGACTGTCGTCAATGAAATACTGCGTGAAGACATCACTGAACTTGAAGCAAACTTGGATCTTTTGAAGACAACATCAACACCTGTGTTCATCCAGGCCCTAGCATCCGAAGAGCTCATGAATCGGACAATCACTGAGTTCCAAATGGCCCAAGATGAAATAACAAGACTAGTTGAATTCTACATCACTAACATTACACAGTCACTCTCGGCTATAAACGACAGTCATTCTTTAGCAATGGAGGCACTGGAATCTCTCACCTCTCAACTACAATTGCTGAATACTCGGGCAAGTGAGATATCTCTTTTGGTTTCTGAACTGATATCAGTTACAAATGCTTTGGTAGCAACAGTTCATGACATTCAAACTTTAAACGTAGAGATTCAGAGTGTAGCGAGCATTCTTCAGCATAACATGACATATGTCCAGCATCATGTAAACTCACTCACTCAACTAGTAAGAAGAATTTCTATAGACATAATGGAGCTGACCGTTAGCATCGGGGAGCAAATGGATACAATACCCGACATCCCATCACCTAGTTATATCGAGGAGCTCCAAGCCAGTTTGTCTAGTTCTCAGTCAACTGTAGAACCTATCAACAACCGACTTGGCATGAAGGTAGCTGATATCTCTCATCTCCACGATGCTGTTTCAGAGAAAGAAAGAGAAGTTGATTCGCTAACAGAGCTGCTCCAGGAGTTTGGCAACCAAGCTCAAGACCTTGAAGACCATGTGAAAATAACAGACAATATGACTATGACCACTGTCACTGATGTGGAGCGCAAAATGTATGAGGCAGAGATTGTCCTGGAGAACCTTCAGCACTTTAGCATTGACACTTTCGAGGTGGCAAGGAGAGCAAATGAAGCACTCAGTTCAGCTGAAGGACTAACAAGTGAAGCTGATATTGTACTGGAGAGTGTAGCTGCTATAGAAAAGAACGTATCTGAATTGAGGCTCACACTACATGATGCCATTCATAACACATACGATGCAGATAATATCACTAGAGATATTGCAGCGGTGAGTATAGGTATTGAATACTGTTCAACTATTATTCTTTCCTTTTTGCAGGTAACAGCTAGTTTGGATGCAGATACCGTACTGTCGACAGTTTATAGAAATCAGAATACTAGCCAAGAGAGCTTAGATGAAGCATTAGAGCTACAAATGCAAGCACAGCATTATCAAGAACGATTATTTTCTCTAAAGACTGATGCCGACAGGGATGAAGAAGCAGTTCAGAATAGCAGTCAACTCATTGCTGACTTGGAAGAGCTGCTTCAAGAAGCCAATAGCAGTGTCAGGACTTTAGAAGCAGCATTAACTAGTCTAGATTATGTTGAGTCCAGTCAGCTACAGCAAGTAGTAGACGAACTGAATAGACAGCTTTCTTTACTGCAGTCAGAGCTTTCATCAGCTGACATCCAAATGCTGTATGCATCACTCAGCCAAAGTTTAGAGGAGCAAAAGTCCATTCGCCAGGAGTTGGAAAACAGTCTTGCCACAATGGAAGCAGAAATACAAGACCTGCAACACCTAGAGTCAATGCTTCCACTTGGCTGTGACAGAAACTTATAGCATTGGCTTTGAGCTTTGTATAGCAGACACTTTTGCATACACACATGGAGTACTGTAGTACATCTGTCACAACGTTCATGTAATGTACACTATGATTATGTAATTGACCATAAGTTTTTATAAATAACTCAATGACAACACGACATATTCAGTTTTAAAAGAAAATCATGAGCACATAGATGCTGCATAGCATCACTTTACACACAGGCTCATCTTTCTCTGATATACTGCACTTCCCCAGATGCAAGCTTAGACTGAGATTGGACTATGACCACTTACAATTAGAGCACAAGCTCAAGCAGACAACACAAAATTGAAAATTCTTAGCACCCTGAGCCCCTGTCAGTCAAATAAATTGCTCTAAAAACGATTATAACTCACAAGAAAACTATCTGTGCCAATACGTATGCACTTACATCACACTTTCACACTCATCATAACACAACAGACACTCCTTCATCCATTCCCTCTCATTACCTATGTGCATTAAACGTTAATAATAGACTCTGTAGCAGCATCAACAGAATAGAGAACAGCTCCTTCAGGGAGTATCAAAACGCATTGTGACTCCTTCACAGATTAGGGTTTGTTTTAAACCCCTCCAGACTCCTAGGCAGTTGTTATCTCGGTAAGCTTTAGCCACAGAGATCTGGTTGTGTTATTTGCAGAATACCCTGTGCCAACTGCCCAATGGTCTACATAGGGCGGACGGGACGCAGGCTTTGCCAATGGTTGACTGAGCATAAAGAGCAGTCATATCTCAATTCCTCTGCCCTGGCTGAGCATGCTTGGTCTGCTATATAGCCACCCTGTCGACTGGGAGAACACCTGCATCCTCTCAAACTGCTCAGACTTTTTAGACTTCCGTTGTGATAATATTGGTATAGTGGCTGGTTTCAGGTTCTAGCTCTTTTACATTTGCTCTGTTTCTCTTATCTGCTTATGGCTAGTGTAAAGTTATATTTTGTCATGGAGCATCATAGCTACACAGGCCTTTTTGCGTTCAAACACAAAGTTGTAGTTCATATCATCTTTAGTGAAAAATACTAGCTTTCATCATTTCAGTACTCTGCTGGTGTTTGCAAGCTGAAGACTTCAGCAGAGCATGCATGGCTGTGTCTTACAGAGGCCAGACAAATTACGTATCAGAGACGGATTTTCGCTGTCAAGAAATAAGAAGATCTAAGTTACCAAAGTTCATGTCATATTATATATGGCATTGACAAAAAAGTAAAAACACATTTTCAGTCATGTTTTATTCCTTTTAAACACTGATTATCCTGCACTGTTATGAAGTTTTTTTGCAATGAACTTTCACTGTTTGCATGCTCACTTATAGGAAGTGACAGAGAGTCTTATAGCTCAGCGAACTCACATTTTGGACAGTTAGTTGTTGCATTGTTGGGGTAGGAGAAAATTCGCACTAGGTTTTGGACACTCTTCACAAGCGTTAGTGTATGGTCCAGTGCCAAATCCTAGAGCTTCCTCCAGCCTACATTCTCAGTAGCATTGAGGTGAAAAAACTGTTAGGTTTTTAAAAACTGTAATGCTTTATCTTCATTAGGGATGATCATAGTTTTCTGCTACCTTGACTGTATCAGAACTGGAGTTGCATTGAGAACCAGTGATGTAATATCTGATCTGTTTCTTTCCTCCAAATATCTGCACACCTTCACAAGGGCTGAGTGCCTCCACATTATCCTCTGTTGCTGAGAAGTCTCGGTAGCATATGCTCCTTACCCAATACAGAAACATAACCTTCCTGATGGTACAGATGGAGTGTATAGAGCAGTTAAGTGCAGCACATGCTGCTGTATTGGAGTACCACCAGAGAAATATCTTTGCCAGCTCCCCTTGCAGAGACAGTCTCTGCAGAGATTCAGGCGACATCATCCAGTTTTAGCAAAACTGCCAGAAACACTGGAAGATAGAAATAGCCACATCCCAGTCCGTTTTTTTGCAACAGAAAGCAACGAGGCTAAGACACATGCGCTCAGCAGCGCGAGCGGTTGATCCTCGGCGCGCATGCGCAGCGAGGTTCCTTACGCCGAGCTATGTGTACAATACAGAATCACACCGCAGCGTTTGTAATGACCTTGCGCAGTTGATAAAGCAACGAGCACAAGTGACTTAGAAGCACCCAGGAATTTCTTCTTCCAGTTTGTATAAAGCAATGGTATGCTCTATCTAGATACGTTTTAATTAAGTAAGCAGAAATTGATGTGTAACATATTAACGCCTAGTATTAGCTATACCCATATATAAATTTTTATGGACTTATGGAGGCTCTGGGCATATATATATTGGGGGCTAGGCTATGCAGTTACTCGTGGTCTTCCGCTAGTAGCTCGCGGAGAGTCTGACACGGGCTAGCTACACTTGTAGATTGCATGCGGGAGTCGATACACGTCCTCTGCTGTAACTTCTGGTCGGTAGTTCTGAAGCCGTTGGTATCACTCATTGGCCACCTCGTAGCCTGTAGTACCAGAATAAGCGTTGACACACACACACAGAGACAGAACGACTACTGTAACCCTCGCTAATGATGTGTTGCATGTGTGCTACAAAGTTTTATCATTCTGGGTATTTGCTCTACCTAGTTGACACACTATATTGGTCTACATCACTAAGTACGGTAGTATGACACAGGTTGTCCTGCATTATTCCCATACATTTGGGATTTTCATGTTTCACTTTCAGTTTCAAACAGATCCAACTTTTGACACATCACACTGATCCGTATCGTCATGTACGTATCCAAGAAATGGCTTAAATCGCATAATTGGTACTTGATTTATTCGGAAAAAAGTCCGATTTCAAAATTCTTCTTGTTGTTCAGTGTAGATATGGAGACGAAACTTTGCACAAAGATTGCAATCTGTGACCGGGTATGCAAGAACGTTTTATTTGTTTTTAAACAATGTTGTTTACATCTAAACAACAAAAAATAGCCCCAGGCAAAACATTATGAAAGTAAATAAAACATTCTTCGAATGAAAAAAAGTGTGGAATGATGCCATAGAGACAAGACAGGGATGACCTAGTACAATGGATGATGGCTACATACTTTGAAGTGACATCGCTTGCTCGTGTAAAATTTCATCCACACAAGCCCTATATTGTCGCGAAGTACGAGTATGCTCCTTGTATGATGCACAGCTATGATTTATTTCATAAGCACAATAGACAGGTAACACCATCTACTCGGTTTTCAGTTGTGACTTTATTGTGTGAAGTCTATGACTTCTACATTTGCTCAACTAACCAGTTTTACAATGCTGCGTTCTACATACAGAATCCTTTCACCATTGTCCTCGCACTTCACTAAACAAACAGTAAAGGTGGCGACAATATAGGGCTTGTGTGGAGGAAACTTTTACATGAGCAAGCGATGTCAGTTCAAAGCAAGTAGCCATCATCCATTGTACTACTGCATCATGTTCACTAGGTCATCCCTGCCTTGTCTCATTACTTTTTGTGGCATCCCTATATTCCACACTTTTTCATTTGAAGAATTTTTGTTTACTTGTTTCCTTTTCTTTCTTTTGCATATGAGAAGGGGATATTTTTGGGCAAAGCCCATAAAAAAGGTAACATTAGTGGCCTTAAGCTACCGCCTCAGACGTTTTGCGTCATTCACATTACATCAGTGCACCAAGTTTCATTGTGAGAGGATTCATCATAAGCAAGTTATAGGCACTGACACCATTTAAAAGCCTTTTTTGCCTGAGGATGTTTGTTGTTACTTACAACCTTGTATTTATGTGTCGGTGAACTCTTTATCATGGTGAATCAGTGTACATCTACAATAGAATCCTTTCCACCATTGTCCTCGCACTTCACTAAACAAACAGTAAAGGTGGCGACAATATAGGGCTTGTGTGGAGGAAATTTTACACGAGCAAGCGTTGTCAGTTTTAAGTATGTAGCCATCATCGATTGAACTACTGCATCATGTTCACTAGGTCATCCCTGTCTTGTCTCCTTGCTTTTGTAATCTGGCAGAAGTTAGCGCTGAGGGACTGGTACTTGCGCTTTAGCGGTTGAGCTGGTTGTTAACTGACAGCAATCTTACAACATCACTTTTATAGGCTGTGACCATTGGTGCATTGGTGATCATCCGGGCACCAACATACAAGAGAACATGACCATTACAGTTGTGTGAACATGACTACAGTAGTCAGTCTGGTGCCATAGTGTGTAAGACAGCTCTCTGGTGTTGGAGAAACCTGCTACACAAGTCATTCTGGTGCAATAGTGTGTGCTACAGCTGGAACCTCCTACATAGCACCCCCATCCAAAAAAGAATTTGTCTTGAATTCAGTAGGGAATACCGGGGCGATATCGGTCTGGAGGAGCTCCATTTCGCCTGGGGTAGCGGGGTGATGGTGGAGGGAGAAGTGGTGGAGGTAGTGGCAGGGGCGCCTACACCTGCAGCCTTGACATGAGCGAGTCTCTATTCACTGGCGGTAGGGCTGTACCATCACCGGGCTTAAGTGGATGTGTGTATGGGTCATCCTCCAGCAGTTCTAGGCCAGCACCCACAGGTGGTCTCTGAGCAGGTGGTGGGTCAGCTGCGAATCCCATTAGGGCTGGTGGTGGCAAATGGGTGTCTGGCGAACATGGCTTCAACCGGTCAAAGTGCACTACAAGTCTCTTGCGACGGTTTCTCGTGTGTTGAATCCTGTTGACAGTTTCAGATAGTCTGTGCACCACATGGAATGGCTCCATCCATGGGCAATGAAGTTTCTCAGAGTTCCCTTTCGGTACAGCCGGGCTGTTGAGCCAAACCAGGTCACCTTCGTTAAATGGTTGTCCATGGTCGTAAAATTCTTTTTAGCGTTTCAGTTTTGCTGCAGTAGTGGTTCTGACCTCCTGCTAGGCAGAAGTGAGGCTGGCACGCAGTTCAGCTACATACTTCGGCACAGGTGCTGACGAAACACCAGGGGTTCCGTACATGATATCTAATGGCATCCGTATTTGTCTACCTAACATAGGGAAGAAAGATGTGTGTCCAGTTGTTGGATTGACACTGGTATTGTAGGCCAGGCAGAGTCGACGGATATGGTGCTCCCACTGAGATGGATAGTTACCAACAGTTTTTAAGAGCATGTCCAAAAGGGTTCGGTTGTTTGCAGAAGTGTTCTTGGAAGGTACGACCCAATACGATCACATCGTCTAGATACACAAGACACTCCCGCCACTTGAGACCGGCAAGCACAAGATCCGTCAGCTGCTGGAAAGTTGCTGGTGCATTGCACAATCCAAATGGCATCACGCAGATTTGGTAGAGGCTTTCTGTAGTGCAAAAAGCTGTCTTCCGTCGATCCGTCTCTGCTACCTCTACCTGCCAGTACCCACTTAGGAGATCGTAAGTGCTGAACCATCGGGACCCATGCAGGGTGTTCAAAGTGGCATCTATCCGTGGAAGTGGATATGCATCCTTGCGGGTGGAATATGCAATTACATCCTTGTAGGACAGCAAAAGATTGTAGAATAACCTCACCCTGTCTGAGGTCAGCTGAGGAATTCTCAACAAGGTCCCAGACAACTTCTTGTTTGTCTTCCTCCACTGCTGTGGCTTGTCCTTCATCTACTGCTCCTAATTCATATGTAGCTAGTTCGTCGACCTCCTGTAGGTTAGCAACATCCATGTTTTTGTAGACAGTCACTGTCTCTTCAGAAGTGTTGAGGACGACGACGGGGAGTTGCACTGATGACAACTCCACCAGGCCACGTGCAACTGCAACTTGTCATCGTTTCCTGGGAGCCTCCTCAAGGAGCCATAGACCTAACCCATTTATTAGCATAGAACTCTTGGGTGGGATATCCACAGTAGCGGTGGAGTGAACTGGTAGTTTAGTAGTGAGGCCACTTGGCGGGGAAGAATCTTCTAGAGGGATAGTACAACCGCTCTCTCCAGATGCAGGGTACGATTGGGCTGGTCGATCGTTGCTCGTTGCTCAACGACGAAGTTAAGGCCCAGGATTGCTTGAGACGTGAGAGGGGTGACCACCACAACATCTACGACAAAGAGGTTCGACCCTATTCCTAGGGTGATATGGCTACGACCGTGGACAGTCAATGGCTCTCCTCCAGCTCCGAGAAGTCGCATTGATGGACAGGGTTCGAGGGGCAGTGGGTTGCAGGTCACAATCTGTTGCCACACGTCCAGCCGAAGCAAAGTGGCGGCTGCTCCTGTGTCAACGAGCATTGACACAGCGACCCCATTCAGGGACCCAAACCCACTTCGGCAGGCAGGTGAGGCATAAGCTGAATGTTCGAAACGTTGGACCTGACTGAAATCATCCTCCGGCGATCGGTCCTTGGCGCCGGTGGGAGCCAGTTTTTCTGCTGCCTTGAGGAGTTTCGACGACGTTGGCCCTACCTCCAGCACTCTCCGGAGATTGGACGGATCCTTCTTTGTTGAGGGCGGGCTGCAGCAGTCTGTAGACGTTCAACCTGTTCCGTGAGCTGCTTCACCACTTTAGTCAGTTGTTCCATGTGTCTGGCTTCGGACGTCATGGGCGAGCAGACAGCTTCCTATGGTTAAGTAGCAGAAACCCCTGCAGACGGGGGGCTAACGTATGACTCCACTTCTAGCGTTGCCACCACAGCATTGTCTTGTGAAGCCGCCCACTTTTGTTTCACGCTGAATGCGACCTGATGAGGTGTCAGTTGCTACAGAAACGAGTTGATGGCCAGTTGTTCCCGAGCTTCGTCCTGGAGCGTGGGGTATGCTTTGTCGGCCAAGGCTTTCAAGTCGCCTGCGAAGTCTGCCCACCCTCCGTCGCTTTCTTACGGCACGCCTGAAACTCAGCTTGGTAGCGGGTATGGTGACTCACTGGGTCAAAGCGGGCTTTCAGAGCGGCACGGGCTGCCGCATATGTACGTTGACACAGACGTCTCAGGGAGTTGTTGAAGGGCTTTTTGAGCGCGTCCCATTGGTGCATTGGTGATGATCCGGGCAACAACATACAAGAGAACATGACCATTACAGTGGTGTGAACATGACTACAGTAGTGAGTCTGGTGTGAGACAGCTGTCTGGTGTTGGAGAAACCTGCTACACAAGTCAGTCTGGTGTCATAGTATGTGCGACAGCTGGAGGAACCTGCTAATGGCATCCCTGTGTTCTAAGTTGAAGAATTTTTACCCTCGGCGCGCATGTGCAGCGAGGGTACGGTAGTTGGGTCTGTGTGTGTGTCTGTCTACATCTAACTTCTCGAGTGTTTGTTCGTCTCACAAAGGATATGACCAACTTAACGGGCAATGAAGGTCAGCAATTTTGAATGGTTTTCTCTGCTCCGTTGCAAAGCTAGAGCGTGAAAAAGGCAATATGCAAATATACAACGGACGGGATGGCTTACCACAGTCTGATCGATCCGCATGCTCTGCGTACCTCGGAGGCACCAGAAGATGCAACGCCGGGCGTTTATCGCCTCTCGCATGCTATCTAGTAGTGTAGTTAGCCCGCGTCAGACTCTACGCAAACTGGCAACAGCTAAAACTAAACCCAGCCCATCAATTAGTGGTACCGCGCATGCGTTTACTTACTCGTGCGCGTCACAATGCGCTGATGGTTTGCACTTCAGTACTTTTCATTAATTATTTATTTACTTGTCTCCTTTCCTTTTGTACTGCATTCACATGCATGGTGTGCATATGAAAAGGGGATACTGTTGAGCATAAGGCCCTAGTGGCCGCTATCGCTTCAGATGTGTTGTCTTCATTCACATTACATCAGTGCACCAAGTTTCATTGTGAGAGGACCCATCATAAGCAAGTTATAGGCACTGCCACCATTAAATGTCTTTTTCACCTGAGGCTGTTTGTTGTTGTTTACTAGCTTGTAATGTTTACATTTGATGTGTTGCATGTGTGTAGAAAGTTTTATCATTCTGGGTATTTGCTCGCGCACTTTGTCTATATTATAATGTATATATGGCCTGGGGTTATTTAGTCCACTATGCCAGTATTTTGAATTCAGGTTTTGGCTCGGTGCTGACCTTGACCAGCAGGAGTGGGGAGGGGCCTAGGCTCCAAACCACGAATGTCTGGGCAGGGTCAGCACATACCAGTGGCAAAGCCTTGTGGGGAGAAATCTCATTAGTTCAGACCACAAGCGCTGCGCTCATGGCAGCCTTTATAAACTCGTGATGCCAGAGAGAGAAGTTGCGGTATGCTCTGCTGATGAGGGCCAACAAGACCGAAACAGCTGTCCAGAGCTCCATCTTTTTTCTCTTGGCATCACATGGTATTTTATACATGTAAACAACATTGTTTACAAACAAATTAAAACGTTCTTGCACGCTGGGTCGAATCTTTGTGGAGTTTCATCCCCATAATTATCGTAAGTTGTTTTTGATGTATGCTTGTCTAAACTGAACAACAACAGCAATAACAACGAGACGAAGAATTTTGAAAACTGACATTTTTGAATAAATCAAGTATGTATATACCGAATCTGCAATTTAAGCCATTTCTTGGATACATGCTCTTTGTAACGATAAGGATCAGTCTGATGTGTCAAACGTTGGATCTGTTTGAAACTGAAAGTGAAACATGAGAATCTCAAATGTATGGGCATAATGCAGGACAACCTGTGTCATCCCTTAATACTAAGTACTACTATACTTCATAATGTGTGTTTTTCTTTTCTAGTCGCAGGGTTGTGGGTATAAAGCAGGCCAAGAATAACCTTTTAATATTCCTTTTTTAAAATTCATACAGTAGGGGTTAACTTCTGCGTGTATCAACTGCAGGATATAACTGGAATGATATCTGCGTTAGCACAACTTATGCAGACAATGAAAAGGTTGGACCTGCCTACACGTCAGGAGAAGGAAGAGTTTCTACTTCATATCGAGGTATTCTTTCTAGCACAGAACCATGTTCTTGCTTCTCAACCCGAATCACTCAACATGTGTAACAAGCAAATAGAGTTTGCAGGTTTTAATGTTTCAGGATGCGATTCATTTTCTACCCACACTTCTATGCACGCTCCGTCCATTTCGGCAAGCTTTAAAGTTGCAGGATCGTGCTAGTACGTCACGCACTGGCTCCCTAACACTCATCATGCTAGTAGCAATGACCTATTCACGATTGATGAAAGTTAACAGCAGGAAAGTCTAGATCGAGCAAACAATTTCTGGTGTGTCTTGGACTCGGAAGTGACCTGAAATATCTGGGACACTTGGCAAGTACGAGTTGTGTAATAGCATTCATATCATGGATCTCTAAAAGCAGCAGTGCACTGTCACTGATTGTGACAAAATCAATAATTAGGTGGGCACACTTTGCTCACCATAAACTGGAAGTGGCTCCATGCCATAATTCATTGTGTAAGCATTTACGTCAACTTTCCTCTTAGCTTACTAATGTATACCATTTGTTGTTCTTCCACAAGGGAGTGTTTTGATTTGTGGGAGAGATTTGAAATTCACTTGGGATTGCCTTTTTTAGTCAGCTAATCTTTGAGACTATGAGAGGACAAACAAACAAAGAGCCATTTAGTGACTAAATGATTACATGAGCTATAAATTCTAGAGAAAGTCTTCATTTTTCAGTCAGCTTCCATTTGGTATATATAACTCATACTGTAACACCCATCAATGGCATAAAATTGTACAAGTTGTCAAAATCACCTTTCTTAAGCGTCATGAATGGACAAAAAGTTTGGCCTGGAAAGATACAGGGTTTTAAAACAAATTTCATAGAGTTCTCTCAAGCCTGCTTTAAAGCTTATGCACCTGAGAACTTAATGTATCAACAATCTTTAAGCCTTCTTTCGTTATTCTCTTGGCTACTTATATACCTGCAAGTGTAATGTAACACATGCGTTGCGATAAAAGTGTATACTTAACTCACTTTTTAGAGCACACGAACTTCATACCCATAACCAGCTCCTGAGAATATGACATAGAGTATGTAAACATGTAGTTACAACCTTTTTCCTGGGTCATTCTATATCAATAATATGGTACTAAGATAGTGAAGGTCCTTTTCCTATGTAAAAATTTAAATATTCATAAAAACTGAATTTTAGTACGACTTAATTGTGCTTTTATTGATATAGGCGGCTATGGAAGTGTTGGAGAGAATTCCTGGACTAAGAAGTCACCAGGCGAAGCGACGACGATTGGAAGTAAGTGATAGCACAAATGGTGCGGTTCCCCAGCTACAATCATTCCACAATGCCAGTAAGCCAAAGGTTAAGTTTGAACATGAAACGCCCACAGCACTGTCTACATTCCCTACATAAATACTAAGTAAGGAGCGGATAAACAAGACAAAAACGTAAAAGTTCAGAATGACATCTTAACAGTCACTGACCCACAGTGTGAGTACTATGCAGTTGCAAGAAAGTGTGCATTGGGGGGATAAGAGGCTTTTCGGTAGGACATGCAGCCTACAGATCGACATGCCACATGCGTGGAGTACTGTCCATAGTATTGACAAGCTAAGTGTTAAGGGAGTTCAAGTTTAGAGCCTCAGACTGTAAAAGAAGCTATAAACATACACTAGCCCTCAAGAACAGAACACTTACTCAAGATACAGGTCTGCAAATCATACAACATGGCAGATAAAACATATTGTAGTAAGGAAACCAGACCCCAAACAAACCAGCAGACCCTAAAGAACAGGATATTGGAACCACAACAACAAAACACAGCCTGAAACCTGCCTCTCTGTGATGCACTGCCATTTTCTGTATAATGTCATCTTTGCCCTAATGAAGACTAGCACAACCTACTTTTCAACATGGCTGTACGAAGGCTAATAAACCGTGAGTGAGCTTGCTTGTTATGTAGCTACTCCAGATTAGTTGCATTAGCTAGAAATTGTAGCTACCCATTCAATTTGGTATTATCCCCCTGAAATATTTGTGCAGCTTTTAGCAGGAGTGATAATCTTCCAACATCAGTATGTGAATTAATATTCAGTCCAGGGAGTGTTATCTAGTGTTCCTTAAAATTGGCTCCAGCTCTCCAATTTACAGTCACCAGTTTCTCTTAAACAGGAAACCATTGCAGCTATTCTTGTTTGTCTTATGAAACTTGTGTAGAGGAGCTTCGGTCCACAGTATGCCTCATACAGCCAATACTACAAAATCCCTATATATCTCTAGGGCAACCTATAAAGCTATTAAGTTTTCAATGGGACCTACTTTTGACTATCATTTTCTTAAGCTCTTCTCTGGCTTGTTACTCATAAATAATTGATATTGTTGGTGGGTTTTAGCCAAAAAAGCACTAAAGTGCAAACCCTCGGCGGAGATGCGCCCGCTTGCTAGAGAAGGGTTCCATGTAAACAAAGTTGAGGAAGACCGACCTACTAAACAGCCTTCTGTGAAAGGCTACAGACAAAGTAAGCATGCTACCAAGTGAGGCACATCTTTCCCGGTTTTTCCCATGTTTTTAGGGTTGACCGGTCTCCTACCAGGTCGCAGAGAGTCGGTAAAGGACTAGCTACACTACTAGATAACATGCGAGAGTCGGTACACGCCCCGCATTGCAACCTCTGGTGCCTCCAAGGTACGCAGAGCAAGTGCATCTGGTCGAGAGGTAAGCCAGTCCTATAAATACACATTGGCTCGCTCACTTGGTTTTCACGCCATAACTCTCGAACGCAGTAGTTTCAGAGAAAATCCTATGTACTTTTCGACCTATACCCAACGCTGAATACCTGGTGGAGTGATTCATAGCTCGTGAAGTGAGATGTTGGGTAACGGACAGACAGACACACACGACAACTACAGTAACCCTCGCTGCGCATGCACGCCGAGATGCGCGCCGTGGGTTAATCAGGCTGCATGTATATTTCAATCACAGCTCTCCATGCCAGATGCTCTCAAGATCTCTCAAAGATCACTTGTCTGTGGTGGGTCCACTGTAATCACTGGATCAGGTAACCAACCAACTAATCAGAATCCATTTATACTGCCATCATAATCACACATTCCCCAGTCCTCTATATTCAACGCGGGAAGCGTATATACTCCGTCTGACCCACCCCCCTTCTCCGCGGGTCCCTTTCGGTCACAAAATTTTTGTTAATTTACACACTTCTAGAAACGTTAAGAAAACTCTCACATTTTGTGAACTTTAGCGGGCGGCATAGCGGCATTATCTCAAAACCACCCACGCATCCTCAGAAGTGATCAGTCGGCACTCGGATGAGGCTTTGATGTTGCTTTAATCTACTCTTTCAGTACAGTAAAAAAGGTCCGGAATGAGAATTGTCATAAATGTCTGAGCAGGCTGAAAGGTATGCACAGAGGCTGGGCGTAGGTCTGTAAAACGGCAGAAAGAAAGGTGTGTCGATTTGGGCAGAATTACGCATGCGTCCAGGAGAGTTGATGAAAACGCCATCAGTCGCAGAAAACTGAAAGAGATATACGCTCTGCCACGTCCGCATACATCGCCCTCCTCCGCTTACCCGTGGCGGGGGTTTCCAGTCTCAGTTGTTCACAGCATACAGAACAACACAGCCTTGCCCCCTGGGTACACGCCCACTTGCAATCTCTCTGTGCCTGCGCACGAGAAAGTGACTGCCTATAGTTTACTACGCTCGGTACACGCTAGTTCAGCTTGCTTTTGCAGCCCCTCCTCACGCTTTCATAGTCTCGCGGAGTCTAGAAATCGACGCACTTCCCGGCTAAAACGATCGCTCGCGTCTTTGCGTGTTTTTCCGCAAGCGCTCAAAGGGTTATGGCAGTGCACAATTCTCATGCTTCTGCAAATGGTGTATTGTCACAGTTAAGTCTTTTCTCATCTTCTACTCTGTCCCAAGGAGATGGTCTAGGCAATCAACAACAAACAGGACAGCTAAAGCTACTGCCATCAGCACTACCATCCACACTGCCATCATCCTCATCGAATCCAAAGTCATCTCAGAAACAATTAGAAAGTACACATTTGCTGCAGAATTCTGAACTACAGTGTCATCCACCACGTGCTTTTACAACTGCTGCACTGTCACAGTTAACTCTTATCTCATCTTCCACCCAGTCCCAAACAGAAGGGCCAGGCAATGAACAACCAACTAGTAGGCACGCCCCATCACTGCCATCTGTATTGCTATCCCCCTCATCACTATGTCCTAGACCAAGGTCATTTCAACCAAAATCCGTTTCTGCTGTAACTGACAGCGCACCTTTGCAGAAATCTCAGGCTTCTAAAAATGCTGCACTGTCACAGTTAAGCCTTTTCTCATCTTTTACTCTGTCCGGAAGAGAAGGGTCAGGCAATCAACAACCAACTAGACAGATGACATCAACACTGCCACAATCCTTTTCACGTCCCCAGTCATCTCAGCAACGATTAGACAATGAACTATTGCAGAATGCTGAACTACAGCCACACCGACATACTCCAGCAAAAGCTGCACTGTCACAGTTAAGCCTTTTCACTCAGTCCCAAACAGAAGGGCCAGGCAATCAACAAGCAACTAGTAGGGTTGCCCCATCCATGCCATTCATCCGGTCATTATCCTCACCACCTTGTCCTAGACCCAGGTCATTTCAACCACAATCCATTTCTGCCGTAGCTGGCAGCACACATTTGCGGAATTCTCAACTACAATCAAAGCAAAATACATCTGCAAATTCTGCACTGTCACAGCTACCTCTTTTCTCCCCCTCGACTCAGTCCCAAAGTGGAGGACCAGGCCACCAACAAACGCAATCCTTACGGGCAATCAGACCTAGACCCACCTCTAGTACTCAGTCAGGAGTCAATACATCACTGGCAACATCATTACCAATGTCACTAAATGCAAGTGCACAGCCATCTCAGAGGCGAGTTCCTCCTAGAGGGAGAAGAAGGGTATATACTTACACCACAAACTGTGGTAGAATTGAAACCAAGTGCAGTTTTGAGGGGACAACTTGTCTGTATGACAACACTCTACCAAGAGCGAGAGAATCACTGATTAATCTATCTGGAATGTTTGAAAAATACATGACCTGCCTCGTGAAACAGACAACTCCTTCAGTGCTGTCTTCAGTGTTGGACCACATGGTCACCCTCAGTTTGTGTACGTCTGAGGATGGCTCTTTGGAAGAGAGAAAGAGCTTCCTGGTTATGCAGTCTCTCCTAAAAGTTCAACGGCATGTGGCCAATGTAGCACAACACACAGTTGGTCAACTGATCAAAGATCTAAGCTCTCAGACTCAGATGTCCAGAAACTTCATTGTGTGCAGCCTTTGCAATTATGCAGAGAAAGAAAAAGAGAGAGAGTATATTTTTCTACTCTCCAAGTGTGCCGAGGAAGGGTGTGATGACTGTGCTGCAGCAATGCAGAGCGACAGAAGTGGACGGTCTACACTTGCAACCCCCTGTACTCCGTTACAGGCTTGTTGCCGCCTGCTTGAACTGGAGTATCAAAACTTCACCCCCTCTTTTTTCAGGCAATGTGGGGAGGTAGCTTCTCTGTCTGGATTTAGTCCGATTGTGCTGTCAGGTGAGCCACCAAGTTTAGTAAGAACTGCACTCACTCCAAGAGCACGTAAAAACGGTCACCTTCCCTCCCTTTTGTCAGGAGCCGCTCCTGTGTTTCCTCTGCATCCGGATAGGACTGCCATAGAGGCAGTACAGTACTGCGACGGAGATGGAGGATATATAGCAATGGAGAGCTTTGTTCATTTTGAAAGGTTTGTAAATTCCCTGTCAGCAACACCCACATTTGTCCGTCTAAAAGACCATGGACTTTGCATGATCCCATTCAGGGAACTTCATCATGATGCCATAGAATTAGGCCATGAGTACACCCTTACTATTAAAGGCAACCAAACTAATGTAAAGTTGGGGTATGATGCATTGGTATCTGCAAGAAGAGTATTGGCCAATGCACAGATGATGTGGCTAGTTCCTGGCACTTTAGATAGGTCCGGGAATCGCCTTCTCCTGGAAATATACACCCAGGAGGCAGATGAGCTCAGCCCCAAGTCTACAGGAGTTCGTCTAATTGAGGCAGGTCTTTCATACCTAGTGACAGACTCTACATTTCAGTGCAAGGATGCATGGAAAAGGTCAATAAGGAGAGGACAAGGTATTCATAAATATGGGTTGGCCCCACTGGACAACCTTCATCCAGCACACCTTAAGCAAACTTTCAACCCGCAGG